CGCGGCGTCACCCAGGCCACGGTGGGCGCGGGCTCGCCCTCGGCGCGGCACTGGAAGCGCACGTCGTCGCCCGCGGCGGCCGTGACGCGCTGCAGCCGCCGCTCGCGGATCTTGGGCTTGCGGCACACGAAGTACTCGAAGAGCACGGAGTCGGGCAGGTTGCGCAGCGCGTCGCCGCGGACCTCGGCGGGGGTGGCGCAGGCCGGGAGCCGCCCGTCGAAGTTGAGGGTCTTCCGGCGCTGCACGATCCAGAGCAGGCGACAGTCGCAGGCCAGCGGGTTCCCGTCCACGCGCAGCGTCTCCAGCGTGTTGACCGAGTGGAAGGTGCTCTCCTCCAGCGTGGACAGCAGGTTGTTGGAGAGGTTGAGCAGGCGGATCTGCCGCAGCCCCAGGAAGGCCTGCGGCTCCACCACGGCCAGCAGGGCGCCGGCCAGGTGCAGCTCGCGCAGGCGGACCAGGTCGCGGAAGGAGCCGCGCGGCACCGTGCTGATGGGGTTGTGGGACAGGTTGAGGCAGGTGAGGTGGGCCTGGTGGCGGAGCGCGGCCGCCGGCACGGCGGTGATGTTGGTGTGCGTGACGGACAGCGAGGTCAGGTTGAGGCCCTGCAGGCTGCCGGCGGCCACCTCCTCCAGCAGCGGCCAGTTGTCGATCTCCAGGTGCAGCAGGCCGGGCAGCCTGCGGAAGTTCTGGTCCTCCAGGGCGGCGATGGCCAGGTGGCGCAGCCGCAGGGCTCCCAGGCCCCGCAGGTGGCCCAGGGACTCGCCCGACAGCGCCGTGAGGTTGCAGCGCTCCAGGGTCAGCTCCTCGAGCGCCAGCAGCCCCGCGAAGGCCCGGCGCGAGATGAACACCAGGTGGTTGTCGCCCACCTCCAGCCGGCGGAGGCTGCGCAGGTCCTGGAAGGTGTAGTCCAGGAGGATGACCAGCTTGTTCTCGCTCAGGTCCAGCAGCGTGAGGTTGTCCAGGCGCGTGAAGACGCCGGGCGGGATGAGCTTGAGCAGGTTGCCCCGGAGGCGCAGGACGCGCAGGCGCGGCAGGTTGGCGAAGGCGCCCGGCTCCACGTGCGCGATCACGTTCTCGCTCAGGTCCAGCTCCTCCAGCAGCGGCAGCGCGGCCAGGTCGCCCGGGTTCAGGCAGCGGATGCGGTTGCGGCTGAGCTCCAGCAGGCGCGTCTCGGCCGGGATGCCGTCGGGCACGGCGGTCAGCCGGCGCCGGGGACAGGCCACCGCGCGCGTCTGCGCCGTGCACTCGCAGCGGGCGGGGCAGCCGCCGGCCGGGGGCGGCGCCGCGGGCAGGAGCAGGAGCTGGAGGCTCAGGACGCACAGCCAGCAGGTCATGGTGCGGAGCCTGGGCCTAGGGCCGCGCCACCATCCTCGTGGGCACCTGAGGGTTGCGGGCGGGGGGGGGGGGGGGGGGGGGGGGGGGGGGAGGGAAAAGTTAGCATGCGTGCGCAAGACGCGGTTATCCGCCGTGGGGCCCAAAAAACCTGTGCCCGCGGTACCCACCACAGCCAACAGGTGCAAACCACCCAAACGCCCATCAACAGATGAACAAAAACGTGCTCCATCCACACGGAACGTCACTCGGTCCCCAGCAGGAGCGAGGCGCCCGCCCCCGCCGCCCCGCAGACGGATCCCGAACACACGGCACTCAGGGTGGGAACCGGACACGAGAGGCCACGCGGGGTGTGAGTCCGCGGGTGTGACACGTCCAGAACAGGCTCATGCACTGACGGGAAGGGGGCTCGTGGGAGCCGGGGGCTGGGGAGGGGGTGAGGGGTGACAGCTCACGGGGACGGGACTTCTTTCGGGGGTTGTGGAATGTTCTGGATTTAGATGGTGCTGATGGTTGCACAGCTCTGTGAATATACTAAAAGCCACTGAAATGTATACTTTAAAATGGCAAGTTTGTGTTATGTGAATTTTATCATAATAAAAAATAAATTGCAAGAGGAAACATTTATTGAACTGGAGAAGAACTTCACAAATATAGGTTAAATTTTGGGGTACAGCCCCCAGAACACTTACTGCCTACTGTATACCAGTCTCCAAACACACTGATGAACAAGGCAGATGTAGACCCCGACCTCCTGGGGCTCACATCCACCCTGTGGGGATACAGGTGGTCTAAATATTCCCCCCTGCCCCCCCCCCCATCTTGCCCCTCCTCGGTTCCGTGTCTACACCGGTCCAACCAGCACATGAAATTACAGGTTAAAACCCTGTTCGTCGTCTGCTCCCTGTGGAGTGTAACCTCTCCAAGGCACCTGTCTTCATCACTTCCGGTTTCTCAGAGCCTAGACCCGGCACCTGCTTGATGACCTTCGGGGCTCAGTCAACACAAGCAGCAAGACCAGAGAATGTGCCCCGGGTGCTCTGAAAGGAAGAGTCGGTGATGCCGGGGGAAGGAGGTGCAGCTGGAAAGGTGACACGTGAGCTGAGACCCAGATGTGGGTGGACCTGTGTCCCCCCCCCCCCCAAAAGACACATGCGGGGCTTAATCCCCGGTACCTGTGAACGGGACCTTGTTCCACTGACCACTGTCCTATCACAAGAGGGGAAACTTGGACACACACCGATGCGCCCAGGGAGTGAGGCCACGTGAAGACCGAGGTGGGGTTGAAGTGATGGGTCAGTAAGCCAAGGGTTGTGGGGAGCCCCCGAAAGCTGGACGGGGCAGAGAGGATCCTCCCGCGGAGCCTTCCTTCGGAGGGGACGGGGCCCCGCAACACATTGACTTCAGACTCGGCCTCCGGGGCTGAGAGAGAATAGATTTCTGTTGTTTTAAGCCACTCCGTTTGTGGTAGTCTGTTGTGACGGCCACGGGAAGCTAACGCAGACACAAAGGACGGTCAGGGAAGTGCCCGCGGTGTCCGGGGGAAGGGAGGGCTGGGCTGGGGGAGCAGCCAGTGCAAAGGCCCTGAGGCAGAAGGAGTGAGTGAAGGGGTTGGGGGAGGGAGGCCAGATGGCGTGGGGCGTGCAGGGCCCCGGGCCTGCCCATCTCGCCTGCTGGCCCCGCCACCCCTTACCCCTCCCCCCACTCTTCTGGGCTGCAGCCCAGATCCCGGGGGTCAAGGTGGGGTGTGGGTGGGGAGGCTCCAGCCAGATGGCAGGGATGGGGGCTGCCCCGTTAGCCGGTCCGCTATTTTCGGCATCTTAGCAGCTGCAGCCCCCCAAGGCTCCCCCCGACCCCCCCTCGTCCCAGGAGAGGCTGCCAGTTTCCGCGCTGTCCCCAGAGGCCCGGCTCGGCAAAGGGCTCAGGCAGCAGATCCTCGTCTGCTCAACATCTGTGAGGCCAGCGCCTGCCTTCCTGGGCCCTTTGGGGAAGTAACACACGGAGCCCCCGAGTAACTGCCACCGAACGCTGGGGGAGAGTCACGTAACAGGGGGAGAGTCTGCGCTCTGCAGGTGCCATCCAGTGAAGACGGGGTCACCCTGGGGCAAGGCGGCCCTCGTCCAGCCACTGGCGACTTGATGAAGAGCGGAGATTCGGACACAGACGCGCGGGCAAGACGGCTCCGTGTCGGCGGATTGGAGGGTGCACCCGCGAGCCACGGGACACCGCAGGTCACCGGTCACCCCCAAGAGCTGGAAGAGGCAAGGGAGGATCCTCCCCCAGAGCCCTGAGCGGGGGCCCAGCCCGGGGGGGGGGGTCCCTTGAGTTTGCGCTTCTGGCCTCCGGAACACAGAGAGAACACAGTCCTGTCGTTTTCAGCCGCCGCCATCGTGGCGTTTTGCGAAGGGGGCCTCGGGGCACTGGCGCGAGACTTCAAGAGGGGCCGTGGATCCCTGACAAAGACCGCGCGGGAGCAGACGCCGTGGCCACGCAGGTTTGCTGCCTGTCGCGTGAAAGCGCGGACTGGGGCTAACCTACGTGTCCATCAGCGGGGGAGGAAGTAAGCTGTGACCCCCGGTTGTGGCGGGGCTCTGGGAGACACGGATGGACCCGCAGAGAAAGGCAGCCGGGGTGCAGTCAGACGGGGCTTAGAGACAAACCGGCTGGCCAAGCAATCACAGACAGCATAGCCCTGTTCACGGCCAAGTACGGGAACACAGAACAGCAAACGGAATTCTCGACTCGGGCGGATGCGTGAATCCGTGGGCAGGTGCCCCCCCCAAAACGCCTGGGGACTCGCACACCGCACGGGACAGCACCGTGAGCGGTGGGAAGGGGGTTGCTCACTCTCAGCTCACACCGCGAGGAAAGCGAGCATCATCCGGTGTCCGGGATGTCACGGGTCCCCGCTCCCTGCCCCCGGCTGGCGGACGTGGGGAGGCTGTGGGAGGGAGCGAGTGCTGGCTGGTTGTGCCCTCCCCCTGCAGCTGTCCTTAATTCTGACCTGGGCATTGCAGGGACACGGTCTTTCCCCAAGGCAAACTTCCTTCTGAGGCTGTTTTTCTAGGTCATTCTCCCCATGTCGTTGCCCTGAACAGCACACGGAGAGGCCGTGTCCCAGGAGGGGACAAGAGAGTCAGAACGGACGGTCCCCTGTTCAGCTGCCCGACTCACAATTCCGGCAACTTCCTACCTTAAACTAGTCCCTGAGTGTGAGGTTACTCCTAGGTCCCTGTCCCAGCCTGTGCTGTTCCCTGTGGTCAAGGGGTAACTGTCCTCTCCCCGGGGAACTGGGGACAGGGCCTCTGACTGTAAGGACTTGGGGCCTCTCTGGCTTTGCCCCAACGAGGAAATGGGCGGTATGGCTCAGCCCCCAAACAGATTCCTTGTGCGGGCAGAACTGCCTGCTTGGTTCTTTCTGCAGCAGAGAATTTCAGCCCCCTCGAGTATAATTCAGTCCTCCCTGAGGCCCCCAAGGCCCTGCACGACTTGCCACCGTCCCCTCTCTGCCCTCCCCTCCTCCCTCTCTCCCCCTTGCTCACTCTGCTCCAGCCACACGGGCCTTCGTGCTGTCCCTCCAACACGCCAGACAGGTCCTGCCCCAGGACCTTTGCACACGATGTTCCCTCTGCCTGGAACACCTTCCCTGCATGGCTCTCTCCCTGACTTTATTTGGGTCTCACCCCTAATGTCACTCCCCTGGTGACTCTCTGTACTACGGTCCCCATCCTCGTCTATTTTTTTTGAGCACGCTCTACACCCAAAGTGGGGCTCAAACTCAAGAGCTCCACTGACGGAGCCAGCCAGGTGCCCCCATCCTAGTCTCTCTAAATGCTATTAAACCCTTGTTTATCGCTGGTCTCCCGTCAGCCGGACTGTGAACCTCCCCCTCCTCCTCCTCAGGGCAAACGCCTCTGCTCTGTGCCAGCCCTGGGGTCAGGGCTCCACCTGGATGGTCCCACAACAACCGCATTGGTGGGGGGGGGGGGGACACGCTGCTGTCACCTTAACTTTACAGACAGGAACACTGAGGCTCAAAGCAACCTAAGTCACCTGCTCTGGTCCACACAGCACATCAGAGGTGGCAGGGGACGGTCTCGGGTGAAGCCGGCTACGATTTGCAACACGGCTCTCCTGGTCCTGGTTTTTAAGAATTTTTTAATTGAGTATAGTTGACATACAACGTTACCTTAGCTTCGGGGATGTCCTTAAGAATGACTTCTGCTGTCACCTCTGGAGACACCATAACGCTGTTTCCCCTCATTCACTGCCTCTGTCCACCAGTCAGTCAACAAACACCTACCATGTGGGGAACATCTTCCAGGTCCGGGGGGCACGGAGCACGGAAGACCGAGAGCTCGCTTTCTTGGAGCCGAACGATATCAAAGGAGGTTAATGCACACGCCCTCTCCCTCCTCCCGGGGCCGCCGGTGGAGAAACGTATATCCAGGGAAGGGACGGCGTGGCGAGGGGGCTGCGAAGATCTAATCTACCGAGAGAGGAATGTTCCATCAGAGACCGAGCAGATGGCTCGGGGTGGGGGGGGGGGGGGGCGGGGGGAGGGCACATCAGGGGCAAACGCTGCGAGCGGGGGCCGCGTGGTCCAGGCAAGGCGCTGAGGCCAGACAGGAGGGCGGACCGTTTAAAACTTTTAAGTTGTTTTTAAGTTGGAAAGAATTCTCAAAAATTAGCCGGCACAGGATATGGGTAAAGACGGAACCTGGAAGGAGGCATCAGGCGACGAGAGGTCGGCCCAGCTTCTAGGGTACAGCAGGTGCTGTCCGTCCCCGCCCCTTGTGACCTGTGATGAGCAGTGCACCCTCTCTGTGCCTTGCCTGTCACAGGAGCGGGGCCGCCCAAGCTGGGACCCAGCTCGTCACCCGAAACCTCCTCTCAGGCGCGGCCTCGTCGTCTCCACGGGGGCGGGGGAGCGGGGGGGGGCCGGAGCTTCTGACGCCTCCCCCGGAGGTCCTGGGTACCCCCTGTGTCTGTCGCTCTCGGATGGTGTAGGGGCTGGGCACCCCGGGAAGGAAGGGCCCCTCTGCAGA